GGGGGCCGGGCGGCCGGGAGGGGTCTCGCCGCTGCAGCTGTCGGCCGCCCGGCCCGCGTCCCGGGCGCTGCTGGTCTCGCGGCCAGACCGCCGGGCCGGGAAGGAATTCGAGGCATTCGCTTTGTTTAAGTTGCCAGTAGACAGTCCTTAGGACTAATTAATGGTGGAATCTGCAGGGGGACGCGGGCGAGCCGGGCCGCCGTCGCGGTGAACTTTCCGCAGCGCGCGGCCCGCCTCCCTGCGCACCCCCGCCCCGGCGCGGCGGGGAGGGAGCCATGGCTGCCCTGAGCGCAGGAATGGAGCGCGCGGTCGGCGCCGCCGAGCTCCGGCTGCCGGGGCTGCGTGCGGGGCAGCCGGCGTCCGGGCCTGGGCTCCGCAGCCCGGTGGAGCCCTCGCTGAGGTGCCTGCGGTTTGTGCTAATTACCTTGGAGGAGCCGAGAAAGACCATGTTGCTTTGGAGCATCTGTTTCTTCATCGCGTCAGCCCCTTTCCTAACACTGCAGAGCTTGTTGTGGCTTGCTTCGGAAATGCCGAGGCCAGTGCTCACACCCGAAGGGGGGAGAGGGGAAGAGAGGAGGCACCTCAAAAAAAAAAAAAAAAAAAAAAAAAAAAAAATCAAATCCCTGCAGTGTTATTTGCAAAAGGCAAAAGACGGTTTGCGGATTTCTCTGTTGCACCTTCACTGACTTGAATGACCTTGGGGGAGGGATTGTGCTTCTGAGCGCTTATCTATCGATTGTGGGGAAAATTCTGTGTGGACCTCCCTGCCTTTAGGGGGGAATATTTCGAGCAAACCCCCCCCCCCCATCTGCCGCATTAGTTCTGGTTTAAGGAGCTGGACTAGTGTCAAAGCTGGGAAGAATTGAGATCACCTAGAAAGATTTTACTACCCCAAATTAGGGAGGAGGACAGGGCTTGGATTTTAGGAGGATTATTTCCTTTCAGAGAATCTGTACAGTATGTTCCAGGTTGATGTCACTTTGAGTGCAGCTTTGGTGGCATTGGTGCGGTTAAATTGAATAACCCCCATAGAAAATTCTTCTGTTGTTAGAAATAATTGTTTAGCTCAGAATTCCCCTTGAGGCAGATTAAGGCTTTGCTCAATTTACTCTGAAGAATTTTCCAGGTTTCTAAAATTAAGCCACTTTTCTAAATATAGTTGCTAAAGTTAAATTGAACTAGGGATGGAGTGTGAACCAAACAGCAAATAGATTCATCGTTGACCAGTGATTAATATAGTTTGATAATACTCTCTTTTTTTTCTAATATGACCAAAAAAAGGGAACTAGTACTGTTGAGTTGCTTACTGTGTTACCAGTAATTTTGCTGGGTGGTAGATATTTTGCATAATCTTCCCAACAGTTCTCTGAGGTGACAGTTGGCGGTCCTGTTTTACAGAGGTAGAAAACTGAAGGTCAGAAGGTACTGTTCCAAGTTCACACATAAACGAGTAAAAAGTGGAGCTGGAATTCAAATCCAAATCTGTAAGGTCCATGGGTATTTCCACTATGCATGCTGCCTGGGATCCAGGAATCCTACATTCTAGGCCTTGGACTCAGCCCCTGGGTCACTGTGGACCCCAATATAAGTTACTTAAATTTGTTTCCCGGTAGTGTTGCCTCCTTTTAGTGATGCTGTCAGTATTTTTTTATTTTATTTATTTATTTATTTTTTTGCGGAACCAGGGATTGAACTCAGGCCCTTGCGCTTGTCAGGGAAGCGCTTATTCCACTGAGCCATCTCCTCAGCCCCAGTATGTTTTTAAATTATGGTAGATTTTGAGAAAGGTGTGAATTTTGGCAGTGCTATGTCCTGTATGTAGTAAGTGCTTAATTTTTGGTTATTAATAGTAAAAATAGAGGAACTGATAAAATAATACACTTCGATGTAATGGAAGATGGTAGCCATGTAATGGTTCTTCCGGTGTACAGGCCATTGTTAGGATGACTTTTTTTTTTTTAGGATGACATTGTTGACCAGAAACGAAGACATTTTTTTCATAACATGGCTTTTTGGGATGCGAACTCAGGATGTTAGGTTTACCAGGCAGTCACTTATGCCCCTGAGCTATCTTCCTGCCCCCCCCCACTCTTTTGTATTTTATTAAAGGTCTACAGGGTCTCATTATGTAGATTGGACTCATAGTGATCCGCCTGTGTTCAGCCTCCCAAAGAGCTGGGATTACAGGCACACGCCACCATGCCCAGTCTGTGGCCCCTTTTTTGGGATAATATTAAGTCTGAAACATTGTGAGTGGAATTTAGATAGTCCAGGTGTATAGCTTTGGCACATATATGGTTGTGTAAACTATTACCTTTGAGGAATAGAGTAGCAGGTTGATTCTAGGAAACGTTAGGTTTTTATATTCAGTTAGGTTTTTATATTCAAATTCAGTACTCTGCGATCAGAGTGAATACTGGAATAAGTGTACCAGCTTATTAGGAAATAGGGATGCCTTGAAATTTAATGGTGAGGTAAGTTAAAATAATAGAGAGACACTTGTTGATTTGGAGAAAGGTGAACAAATTTGCAAATAACAAGATTTTATTTACTTTTAGTCCAGAGGATATATTTTTGGGGAAAAAAATTACCCTGGAGATTTATTAAGGAGCTGAACATTTTGTTTCCATTTAAAATGTTAGCGCCAAGCCGGGGAGATAGTTAGTGGAATAAGCACTTGCCTGGCAAGCGCAAGGACCTGAGTTCAATCCCTGGTTCCGCAAAAAAAAAAAAAAAAAAAGTTAGCGCCTATGTCTCTGAAGTCCTTAACATGTTATGGTTGGCATAACATGTCCTAATGACATTTAAGGGTGGGGATGCTATGAAGTATTTGGAAGCCTTGCCTTTCTGCCAATGATAGAATTTAGTGTCCATCTCTTAACTTGTTTCAGCTAATATTCCATAAAGAGAACAATACATTAGATAGAAATTGTGGTTACAGGGAAGGTTATTCTTTTCCTTGTCATAATTTCTTTAGTCACTGAGCCTGACCCAGTTTTCTTTAGATTAAGTCTCTGACTTAGAAAATGGTTGAAACTGCTGCTTCTGAGGATCTAGAAAATTCCTTTCTCTGCTTCTTCCTTTCCTTTTTAAAACATTTCAATATTTTGCTCATTTGTCTATTTTATAATCTTCATCTCCCCCACCTAGGAATTTAAGAGTGGAAACTCTTGTTAATATAAACCATTGGCCCTTATATACCATTAAGAAATAATGACTAAATTAAAATACCCTCCAGACTACTCGACATTTTGGGTGGCTGTGGGGAGAAGATAATAACTCTGTGAGGAGGTAGTCATTATCCTCATTTTATTCTTGAGGGTGCTGATCTCAGAGCTGTTACGGCCAGAGCTAGTGAGGGGCCAACCGTTGATTTGAGCCCAGGCATGAGTGATGCTCAGGTTTGGGATCTTTTATTTCGTTATACACTCAGGTGTGTTGGGGTGGGGCTGGAGGTGGGGGTCAATCAAGGAAAAGGCTTGAAAGTACCATTTTAAAGTCTGAGCCACAACATAACAAGCATTGTTAGCTTTTATAGAAATTGCTATTTTCATCTGTTTCTTTTGTAATTTCTAGATACACCTTCTTACATTCTGAAGAATTTATAGCTCATCTTTTATGGCAAAAATTCCTTCCCAGACTCAGCATTTATTTTGCAAGTATGATATTTATTTATTTATTTATTTATTTATGGAACCCGGGATTGAACTCAGGACCTTGTGCTTGCCAGGCAAGCACTTATTGTACTGAGCCATCTCCCAGGCCCCATGATTTATTTTTCTGAGACAGGGTTTCACTGTGCAGTTCAGCCTGGTTTTAAATTCTCTTTGTACCCTGGGCTGGCCTTCAGCTCACAGCAATCCTTCTGCCTCAGCCTTCTGAGTGTTGGGAGTACCACCATGCCCAGATTAAGTATGGTGCTTTGTATTCATTGGTAGGTAGTTTGAGTTATACCTCTTCCTGTTTTATTTGTATGGGCAAGCATCCATCATGTTAGTTATTGTAATTAGTTACTGAAGAATTTTTATATGTGCATGTGCCTCTATTCCAGTTTTATCTAGACAGTTGTATTTTTAAAATTACATTAAGTTAATTAAGGGGCTGGGGAGATAGTTCAGTAGAATAAGCACTAGCTTACAAGGGCCTGAGTTCAATCCCTGGTTCTGCCAAAAAAAAAAAAAAAAAGTTAATTAAAAATAAAATTAAAAATTAATAATTTATGTAAACTTTTAAACATTCACCATCCTTTTAGGCTGCTTCAACAAAGCAGTCAGCCTCAGGTTGCTGTGGTTCCATCCCCACAACTCCAGCCAGCTAAACATTCACCATCCTTTTGATAAAATTACTATGCCTCTTTGTACTTTATGAAGAAGAATGCACATAAGAAAAGATTTTAGCGCTATAAACTGAGTAGACCATGTGACC